CTCACCTCAGCCTCCCAAAGTGCTGGGATTACAGGCTGAGCCACCGAGCCCGGCTGCATTCTCTTTTTATTTTGAGCCGGAGTCTCACTCTGTTGCCCAGGTTGGAGTGCAGTAGCACACTCATGGTCACCGCAGCCTCGACTCACTGGGCTCAGGTGATCCTTCCGCTTCAGTCTTCCAAGTAGTCGGAATTACAGGCATGTACCACCATGCCCGGCTAATTTTTTGATTTATTGTAGAGATGAGATCTCGCCAGTTTGCCCAGGATGTCTCGAACCGGTAGACTCAGGCAGTTCTCTCACCTCGGCCTCCCAAAGTCCTGTCAACTTTGAAACAACTTAGAAAAAGAAAATGGTGAACACCAAGAGAAACTCTCCACAACTCACACCCGAACTTCAACAGCCTGACTTCTGAGTCTCTGCAAGGCTTGATTTCCCTGTTCTTTTTTTTTATTATTGAGGTCATAAAATCTATTTTTAAAATTTTTTTATTTTAAAGATGTGGGAGGCCGGGTGCCTATAATCCCAGTACTTTGGGAGGCCGATGTAAGAGGATTGCCTGAGCCCGCGGGTTTGAGTCCAGCCTGGGCAATATGGTGAGACCCCGTCTCTACAATTAATCGAAAAATTAGCTGGGCATGGTAGTGCTTGCCTGTAGTTCTGGCTGCTTGGAAGGCTGAGGCAGGAGGATCATTTGAGCCCAGCAGGTCGAGGCTGGGATGGCTGGGAGTGTGCCCTTTGCACTCCAGCCTGTGCAACAGAATGAGACTCCAATTCAAAAAAAAAAAAAAATGTGGGGTACTATTTAGATTTAGGTAAACGAGTGGTCATCGTACAGGTAAAGTTCGGGTCTTCCTTTGGTCCCCACTACACCTGGTTTGCGATCAGGCACCCTTGGTGAGGTTATGTGTCCCACTACTGCCCAGCCCTTTCTTATAGTATGATGGTAAATGTTCAGGATCTGCTTATGAGTGATCCCTGTATTCTTCTGGAAGGGAAGGAGACACCATTGCCTCTTCCAGTGGTTTATAAACATAGAGGGAAAGAGAGACTGGGGAGGGGTGGAATTCTCAAAGGAACAGGACAGGTAGCTAGGAGGGCAGCCTCCCTTAGCTGACCCCAGCATTGATGTCCCAGACCCACCGGGTTCTCTCTCTTCTAAACGCTGCAGAATTTCTTCCAGGTCTTCCCTTGGTGGTTTTTCTGTCCAAGTCATCCCTGAAGAAAAAGAGGGGACACTGTGGGCCTGTCACTCTGCTAACAGCGAGACTTCAAGATGACTCGAGTTCAACCCTGGGCCTCCATATTTAAGCCTGGATTTTGTAGAGATGTCAACAAGGGCCAGGCACAGTGGCTCATGCCTATAATCACAGCACTTTGGGAGGACGAGGCGAGAGGATTGCCTGAGTTCATGGGTTTGAGACCAGCCCAGGTAACTTGGCGAGACCTCATCTCTACAATAAATCAAAAAATCAGCCGAGTGTGGTAGCGTGCGCCTGTAGTTCCAGCTACTTGGTTTATTATTTATTTATTTATTTTTTGAGTTGGAGTCTCACTCTGTCGCCCAGACTGGAGTGCAGTGGCCGCTCCCAGCCACCGCAGCCTC